TTCCAGACCCTTGTTCCATCCTTTCCCATGGTACCCAGTACTCTTGGCACCAAGCCTACTACCTGTCTACCATCAGTATCATTATCCTGCCTAATAGATAGTGTAAGCATTAAGTAACAGGACTCTGTAAATATCTTAAAAATAGCTACACATAGCTTATCCTTTGAATATACTATACATATTCATCACCCTACTACTGGACATTTAGATTTGCACCCAGTGTTCTGCTATTATAAATCCCATGAACTTATTATAATGAACCTTTTGTGTATGAAGTAGTCTTCTATTTTTTTAGGCACCAAAAGAAATGGTTGGGTGTAGGGTTATCAGGTGCAGGCATACTATAAAAGATCTATTTGACCATAGTCACAGAAACAACTCAGAATGGGTACACTGGCTCCTGGATTCTTAGGATCTCAGGAAGCTGAGATCTGAGAATCTCAGTTCAAAGCCAGTCTAAGCAGTAAAGTATGAGTCTGCCAGAAGTTGGAGATGTGGCCCAAATGGTAGAGAATTAGCCTTGAACAAAAAAACTGGGGACAAGACCCAGGCCCTGAATTCAAACACCAACACACACACAGAAACAACTCAAAATAGCTTCAGGAAATTATTGTGATGAATCTGAGCAATGTGAGGAGAGATGTCATGCTTCCAAAAGTTCAGTTGATGTCACCTGGTATTTCTTCTCTTTTGACTTTTCTTTTTCTTTGTGGCAACATTCCAAGGCAGTTTGTACCCATTCATATCAAATTCACTATAGCTCCTGTTACTCTTCCACCAACTCTAAATCTACCTTTTTATGTTGTTGTTGTTCTAGTCTTGATGCTCGAACTCAAGAGCCTGGATTCTGTCCCTGAGCTTTATATTCAAGGTTAGCACTCTACCACTTGAACCACAGCTCCTCTTTTGGTTTTTTGTTGCTTCATTAGAGATTAGAGCCTCATGGACTTTCTTGCCTTGGCTTTGAAACATACTCAGATCTCAGCCTCCTGAGATGGGTTACAGCCATGAGCTACCAGCGCCCAGCTAAATCTTCCTCTCAAGATACCCTTTTGCTAATATTTTCGGTAAACAGAATTTGACAGGTTCTCGTTGGGTCAAATTTAATTTTGCCTTTGAGTTATTAACTCCAGATGTAGGATCAGTTTCTGGAATAGGCCAGTGTGATACATGTACATTTTAAGAATTATGAGTCTTGGTTCTAAAAAACAAAACAAAAATCAGAAAAAGACATCAGCTTGTGGCACCCTAGGCATGCATCTTTGGGATGTGAGAAATCCAGCTTAATCATATGGCAAAGCATTTCCATTGTCACATGGTGGAGAGAGGGGAGCCCAGGGACATCTTCCTTGGGAGTAGAATGAGGTTTCCAGGCCCTGTCATTGTACACCCATTGGTGGCCACCAGCTCCCCAAGTACACACTGAAGTTTTGAGTGAGGGAAATGGGGTCAAGTGTGAGAAGCAGAAACACTCTTCCAGGATTTCCCTAAGGGATTGTGTTCACAGTGGTAATTGGGATGAAGTGGAGATGGTGGGCCACCATCTTGTCAGTTGGACAAGAGTTGAATGTGTGTTATTCAGACTCTGCACTGCCCATAATCTGGGTGACTTCTTCCTGTTAGCAGTATGGTCTTGGCCTTGATAGGATCAGCCCTCATGGGAGAGCTCTGTTTCACTGGCAGCCCATTTCTATGTGGATTTTGCTGATCTGAAGCATAATTGTTTGGTGACTCTGTCTGTTATTCACTGCCTTACAAGGCAACACTGAATCCTTTTGGGCCTATGGCAGCTTTTGGCTGCCATGGAACTTGGTTTTAGCATTGCACTAGAACATTGCAATTAAAAAAAAAAACCTAGGTTTGCTCTGTCTTTTCATGTGAACAAGGGCTATCTAACCAGCTCACCTTTTCTTTTGAGTTCATTTGTCATTTTGATGAGTTAGGAACCAAAGAAAATGGAAGTTATTACTTGACACTCTTCATAAATTTTTAAAAGGCCATCTGAGCCCTTTCACTTGGATCCTGTGTTAATGACTATTTGCTGTTATTTAGTAGCAAGAGCCAGGAGTGGGCCACAGAGGGAAGCTGCCAGAACAAGGGCTGGGTGGAGAGCCTTTTCGCTGTGCTCTTAAATATCCATGCAATTTTGGCATCTCTCCCTTTCCGTGTCATCAGGGAAATTAGAGGGAGGCAATTTATCAGTAAATGATCCATCTCTAATAAGGACTCTGAGTTAACCTGGAGCCTTCTTGCTCACATTTCCCTTGGTGCACTCAGGAGAGAACAATTTTAATATTCAGTGTGTACTCTAGATTATCCACCCACTGGGCAGACTTATTTCATACAAGCAGACTTGCCAGAAAAGTGTTTGGAACTATAGACATTAGACTTTCATGAATTAAGTCCTCACTACTGCAAAAATAATGAGGGCTGGGCTAGGTGCTGGTGACTCACACCTGTTAGCTATTCTTGAGGCTGAGATCTTGGATCATGGTTTGAAGTCTGTAAGACTTTTACTTCCAATTAACCAGCAAAAATGGTGGAAGTAGAGCTGTGGCACAAATGGTAGAAAGCCAGCCTTGAGCCAAAAAAACCCCAAAACCCCCCCAAAAACAAAACCCCCCCAAGCAAAAGTGGAAGGCCCTGAGTTCAATTCCTCATATGGTGGGGGTGGGGCTGAGCATAGTGTCGTATGCACTGTATGGAGCACTATGTGTCGTTATTCCAGCTACTCAGGAGGTAGAGATGGGAGGGTTTCAGTCTGAGGCTAACCCAGGGAGAAGTGCAAGAGCCTATCTAAAAAGCAAACTAAAACCAAAAGGACTTGGGTGGCTTGAGTACTAGAGCCCTGAGTTTAATCCCCAGTACCACAAAGAAAAGAAAAGAAAAACCTTTTTGTCTGATACATGGAATCCCACAAAACCAGAGAAATCCCTCCAGTCCTTCTGTTTGATTCCAAATCCTGAGATAAAGTTGTGTTTCTCACTGTAATCACCTATCTATATGTTTGAAATATGTAGCCTATCATAGAAATGTCTGGTTAGATAACTCATAGACAATTTGACTTCAAATCAAATCTCCAGGAATGCCTTGTCCTTGGCTTCCACTGAGCACTGAGCACTGAGGTGAGCTCAGAGGGGGAACTTTCCCCTGGAGGCTTTATTCTCATCTCTTACAGGTATTGAGCTGCTGTGCAAGAAGATAAGTTTATCCATTTCCACTGCTGGTTTTTACAAAGCCCCCTAAGCTCAGCTAAGATAGTTAAAAACAGGTTGTAATGAAAACCCCAGCCACCCTCTTTTGCTTGCTTCTGGGAAACTTTACTATGCTCAGTTCACAGTGAGCACATACTACAAGTTGATTTTATAAGAGCATCTCCGTGCTCCGGGCAGGACCCTTCCCACCAAACAAGAAAGCCAGTACTTGTTCTGCTCATGCCAGTGTGGGCTGTGAGCAAATGCTAAGACCTTTGTGTACCACACACCTGTGTTATCAAGAAAGCTGCAGCCCTGTATACAGCTAGCTCTGCACCTCTCTTTGGGCCAGCAAGAGCAACAGCAAGGCCACCTGGGCCAGCTCATGTCATAGATGGAAAAGGTCAGAGACTTAATAGACTATAGTCAGCCTCATACAGCTGAGGGCCTCAGTGTGGCGGGTGTCAGGGAATATGTAAAAATCCTGAAGAAGCCAGGCACTGGTGGCTCTTGCCTACAATCCTAGCTACTCAGGGTGCTGAGATCTGTTCAGAGCCAGTGCAGGCAGAAATGTCTGTGAGACTCTTAATGTCAATAAAGCACTCTAGGAAAAGCTAGGAAGTGGAGCTATGGCTCAAGTGATAGAGTGCTAGCCTTGAACCAAAGAAGCTCAGGCCCAGGGCCTAGGCACAGGCCCCCAGGATTGGCATACATACACAAAAGAATCCTGGGGAGCCTGTGTTTCTGTCTTTCCAGTGCTCAGTGAGCCCTATGCTTGTCTTTCTGCATCTATATCTTTGCAGCAAGCAATGGCTAGTAACATTGTAGGCCTGTCTGCACAAATTGACTGGAGAGGCTCTCAGTCTCAATACGTAGGTCATAGAGAATAAACCGTGTTCAGTCCACTTTGGATTAAGTGACTGGGGTCTGTTCCTGGACCATGTGGATGGGATAGCAATCAGGGCCTAGGAAAGGGACATTGTGGTGAGCTAAATGGCAGTCTGCTGACCTGTGTACCTTTGGCTCAGGCCTCTTTAACCCTACAGGTGCACACCTGAGATGCCTAGGGCAGGATGCTTCAAAGCTTTGCTGATACATAGGAGGGTTTACTGCTTTGGATGGTTGACACAGCCTGTGAACTATGGCTTTAGCTTGGAGCATAGTAGACTTTATTGAATCAATTTGGGGACAGTTTTTGAAGCTAGACGTTGCTTTGGCCCAGAACAGAATTATACACTCAACTGACCTGCCCCTCCTCATATTTTAATATGGATAAATGCTTTAATTATAACTGTTTATGGACATCTATTGTTTTAAGCTCATTTGTCATTGTTTTTATAAATAGCTACATTAATGTCTACTTTATACTGTAAAGGCTCAGGGGGGGTGTGGAGCAAAAGATTTTTCTCTATTATTATTAGCAATGGGGTGTGCATAATTCCCTTGTGGGAAGAATTATAGTTTCCATATCATTTTGAAAGTTTAACATCTTTTCTACTAGTCTGTTAATCACTTTCTAAATCTGGAGTTTCTTTTCATCAGATTGATAACTGCTGAGGTCATTTGTTCTGATGTTGGCCTTTGATGCTTCTGAACACACAAAGAAAGTTGTATGAGCTTATCTTTTGTTCTCTCTCTCTTTTTTTAATTTCTCAGATTGTACAGACAGGAATTTTTAATTTTATTTTGGACCTTTTTCATTGATGTTTAATAGGCTATATCAAATGTTATTAAATGCCACATGAATGAGAGCCACTATTCATGAGGTTTTTCACATATTCTGAATAATATTTTCTTTCTTTTTAGCTGTCTCCGTTATGAGGTACAGCGCCTCTGCTTTTGGGTTTGCAGTAAGTAACCTGAAATGTACTTTCATGAAGTTTTGCACGTTTTTTTATTTTGTTTTTTTTCCTGAGCCTATGAATTTCCCCCCAATCTTTCGAATAAGAGGGTGGGTAGCATGGAAGAGCTTAACATGAGAAACACAGCTTTGATAGTAGCAGCTTCTATAAAAATTACAAGTTAATTAAAATAAACTGCAATAAGAATGTTTATTTCTCAAAGGTGAAGAGGTCATATTTTCTACAAGGTGGTTGTTTGAGAGGCTCTTTTTAAGCCCCCTTTTCCCTTCCAGGCTGTGTGGGGACCTGGCATGTACTGGAGAGGGATTTTTTCTCGTTAATGGTGTAGACAGAGGGGCTGGGAGTTAGGATTGGGGTTGCTCACATTAGGGTAAGTCAATCTTTAGCCCAAGTTGAGGGTCCCTGTTTTCCTGACCAGCCTCCTGGAGCAATTTAGTCAGACAAAGTGAATGTCTTGTACTTTAGGTATGCCGTAAAACTGGATGGTGTTTCCTCTGTCCCCAGGGCTTGTAACTATGCAAATGAAAGCTGAGGTACACAGTGTGCTGACTCAAGGAGAGTCCCTTTTACTATCCCTCCTGGGTGAGTGTAGGTTCCTGTACCCATTAGTTATGTGTGACTCTTCCCAAACACTTCTGCTCTCTGTTGTAAGAACTTCATGTTTTGTGGGTGTTGCAGTCTTTACTGAATCTTACAAAGAGTATACTCTGTCCACAAAAAAAACACATGACTACGCTCAACCAGACATACATGTGCAAAATATACACATACACCTATCACAAACATATGCCGCAGACATTCAGACCTCACACACATAAACACATACTCATATACACGCATGCATGCTCCATACCACAGACAAACTGACATGGTACATATAATACACACTCAGAAATATACACATATACATACATACACACATCACAAACACATGCCACAGACACCCAGACACCCACACAATACACTCATGCATACACATGCATGCCCCCAAACCACAGACACACCAACATGCTACATATAACACATGCCCAGAAACACACACCTCCCTTCTCTAACAAGCTTTCTCACCACCACCCTCTCCTTTTCCTTCTCTCTGGCTTACTGTCCATTCACACAAAAACACTGCATTGTGTGCAAATCAGTGTTAATGGACTTCTTAGAGCCCCACAGTGACCCACCCCTACCCCTGAACTCAGGTAGAATAGTACCATTGAGAGCCAGAAATGGAATCCTCACTCCAAATCTTTCCTTTAAAATGTACAGAAAGCCTTGCCTGCCACAGACACCAATCCTACAGATTTCAGAAGAGTGTACCCCTGACCCCCATCCCATATCTCCGAGCACTGGGAACCAGTGGCTCTGGGGGACAGAATCCACCAGGCAATAGCAGAGCAGCAGGACTCCAAACTCTCCAGGCTCCATGGTGACTTGTAGAAACCTCTTTGATGTGTGATCCTCATTCCAGGATTCTGAGTCACAGCACAGTTGCCCCGTCTCTTCCTCACTGGACCCCATTAGCTCTGGAAAGCCACTAACGCTCTGTCTCCTTCTCCTAGTTTGACGCCATCCTGGATGTACTGTCATCAGCGATCGTCCTGTGGCGTTACAGCAATGCGGCTGCTGTGCACTCTGCCCATAGAGAGTACATGTAAGTGGATCCTACCTTTGCCCCAACTCCAGAAAACCTGTAAATGAAAGCCACATAATTAGGCCCTTGACACATATCACCTTGTAACTTTTTGACCCAAGTTGCCTTGGGGGGCAGCCAGTGTTATGTCAGCTGCTGGCCAGGTCTTTGCTAGAATGGTCAGAGAGGTCACATGTGCCTTTATATTTCTCTCTTCCCTGGTCTGGAGCAAAGATCTGCTTGTCTATCCTTTGGCCCAGCTATTTTATGTCTATCCATCAACCCTCCCAATCATTCCCCTCCCCGCCCCCCATCACCACTTCATTGTTTTCGGTTGTGAGGGTTATTTTCCTCATTCTAAGTAAAATGAATTCATCACTGTAACTTGTAGAAGACATCTTGGTGGCATTTTAAATTATTTCACTTGCCTCCCACCTTTGTCTGTACTGGAAGAAGTTGCTAAATGCTGGGGGAGAAATTGACTATGAGAGGTTTGTATATATGACCACAAATCTCTCTCTCTCTCTCTCTGTTTTGCTCTGTCTTTTTATTTCTCTATGTCTGTCTCTTTTTCTCTTTCAACTTAGGTCTCTTTACAACATTTGTAGTCCTTGGGGTAATAAGAGACCACAGTCAGAATCAGATTATTCTCTCTTCCCTTCCTCTTTCTCTTCCATCCCTCTGAGTCAGATCTCTCCCTGTCTCTTGCTCTCTCCCTCTCCTTCTTCCCCTCCTTCCCTTACCTCCTCTCCCCCTTCCTCTCCCCCTTCTCGGCTTCCTTCCCTCCTTCTCAGAGCCCTTCCTTCCTCCCTCCCATCTCAATATGCTAGGCAAATACTTAACCTCCAGAGTCAGATTTCTTGGCTTTTGAAGACAATGACTTGGTAGATCTGAGACTATTCCATGCCTATTCTCTTTATCTGGAAAAGCAGGGAAATAAAAATTCTTCCTAAGATTATTGTGATTACATGCATATACATATATAAACTCATATATATATATATGCATTTGTGTATATATATATATATATATATATATGACTTGTGTGAATATATGTGTCTGCGTGTACGCGCACACACATACACACACAAGTGTATATACAGGATGTGGTGGAATTTTTATTGTGCCTATGCAATACAAAGGAGCAAATCCCCCTGCTGTGATTTGTTGTGGTCTGCAGAGAAAGGACTCCTGTTAGGACTTACTGAAATCAAACATAGGAAGGCTGAGCTATCTCTTCGTGCTAGGAGATTTAGGTAGGGATGCATTTGAGATTAAATGTCCTGAAATGGAAAGCTACTGAAAAATGACAGCATGAGAGCAAATATTAGTTCACTTCATTGTTGGTTTTAGCTAGTATACAAAACTTCTTTTACATGTCAAATATTTATTTTGATTGTGCTAGCTCTTTTAGCAAATATGAAATACCAAACTTGGCTGAGCATTGGTGATTCACACCTGTAATCCTAGCTATTCAGGAAGCTGAGATTTGAGGATCATGGTTTCATTCCAACCTAGGCAGAAAACCTGTGAGACTCTTAGCTGCAGTTAACTAACAAAAAGGCTAGAAGGCTCAAGTGATAGAGCTCTAGTCTTGAGCACAAAAAGCCCAAGGACAGTGCCCAGACCCTGAGTTCAAGCACCAGGAATAGCACAAAGAAGATAAGTAAAATATCAAACTTGAATTGTGAGGTGATAGTTTTTTAGATAAAATCAATTTTTAAAGAAAAGTTAATTTGCAGGCACTGGTGGCTCACGCCTGTAATCCTAGCTACTCTGTGTAAGCAGTATGCCCACCTTTGGTCCTCAGCTCCACCCAGATCTGCTGGCTCCTCCCTGTCTCTGCCCAGACCTACCTGAACTCCCATCTACCTCATTTCCTATCCCCCAGACCCTGCTGCTACCTATAGCGGAGGCTGCCATGTGCTCTCTCTCTGGGGGAAATATGGCTCCTCTAATAAACCTTGTAATCATCTTTCTCCTGTGTCTGTCTGCCTTTACATGGTCCTCTGGCATGGATGTGACAGATCCTTTCATTGATCCTTTCACTCTGGAGTCTGAGATGTGAGGATCACGGTTCAAAGCCAGCCAGGGAAAGAAGGTTCATGAGAATCTTTTCTCCAATAATCCACTCGAAAACCAGAAGTGGCACTGTGGCTCAAGTATGTGAGTGCTCGCCTTGAGCTGAGGAGTGCAGAGACAGAGCCTAAGCCCAGAGTTCAAGCCCCAAGACCGACCCAAAAAAAAAAGTTAATTTTGTGATTGAAAAATTAAACCAACACATTTTGTAAAACTTTAAATGATGGTTAGTTACAGTAGCGTAAAGGAGCAGGTAATGTAGCCACCCAACCTGTTAGGTAGGAATTTGAAGAATCCTATGAAACAATCTAGAAAGTGTAAACTTGGATTTCAAAAGCAGCCACTAACTATATTCTATGAAGAACACAGAGCTTTTGATTCTGCAGTAGCACTATCCTATGCACTTGGCATCTAGTGTAGGTGGAGTTGTCTCATCTGAACTGAGAGGTGTTTGAAGTGTAAGATACCCATCAGATGCTAAAGGCTTAGCAATTAAAACAATATCAACATTTTTACTAATTTGAAAAACATTGAGCCTGGGTGGCCCAGGCCTATAATCCTAGCTACTCTCAGGAGGCTGAGATCTAAGGACTGCTGTTCAAAGCCAGTGTGGGCAGAAAAGCCCATGTAAGACTCTTATCTCCAACCAACCAACAAAAAAGCTGAAAGTGGAGGTGTGGTTCAAGTGATAGAGCACCAGCCTTGAGTGAAAAAACCAAATGAGAGTATGTGGCCCCAAGTTCAAGCTCTAGTACCAAAACTATTGATGACATGCTAATATCAGACCATGTTGAATATATTAGGTTAAAAGATTGAAACTAATTTTTCTTTTTACTTTTAAAATGTAGCCTGTAAAAGTTTAAAATTACCTGTGTGTTGTACATTGTATTTTTGTTTCTTAGAGAAATAGGTGTAAACTAGTATAAGGAGAAAGCTCTTTTTCTCTGCCTGTTTTTAGAGAAATCATCTTGAATTTGATTGATAATTCCAGAAGTAATGAAAGGCAGGGTTTTTCTAATTTCTCTCTTCTTGCTTGCTTTTTAAAAAGTCTTATTTTCTTCCTGCCAAAATGATTTTCGTACATACTAGCCACAAAGCCAAACATTCTTGTGGCTTTTCTGTAGAGTTGAGATCCTTTGACCATTCCCACATGGCCTGGAGGTTTCCCCAAACCAAGGCTGATGACAGTGTCTTTGGTCCCCAAATAGGCACCATTAAACAACAACAACAATATATATACTACCAGAAAGCCAAACACAGAGGTGATGCTTGACCATTTTTAAATGGTGGTGAGTAAAAGGCTATGTATTAAGTTAACTTGGAGATTCTTTTTTTGTTGTTATTGTTGGTTGTGGGGCTTGAACTCTGGGCCTGGGTGCTGTCTCTCAGCTCTTCAGCTCAAGGTGAGCGCTCTACCACTTGAGCTACAGCGCCACTACCGGTTTTCTAGTGGTTACTTGGAGATAAGAGTCTCACAGACTTTCTTGCCTGGGCTGGCTTTGAACTGCAATCCTCAGAACTCTGCCTCCTGAGTAGCTAGAATTACAGGCGTGAGCCACCAGTGCCCAGCAACTTGGAGATTCTTAATCCAAAGATCCAAATGATACCATCTTCCATACTGTTGGCTTTAAACTTCTGTTGTTTTTTTTGAGACAAGGTCTCATTATGTAGTCTAGGCTATTCTTAAACCAAATATACTCCTTGGCCTCCCCTAGGCCTGGGATTATAGGTGGGTTTTACCACATCTTTCTAGTTTAAAATTTTCATCTCTGGCTCAACCAAAGTAAGTACCAAATTAATGCAGTCATTACTAGCCAAGAAGCAGATAGTTGGTGATCATAATGAGCATAAATGGGTTTTATGGGAGAATAGCTAGAAAATCCACTCATTTCCAGTTGCTGGGAAATAATACTGGAATTGAGAAACAGCCAACTGTGTTTAGTTCTCTTATTTTTCTGAATCAGACCGCAGTCTCAGAGCATATCTTTGAGTTTGAAATTGCCAATACATGGTCCTTAGCCTTGTACCCCTTGACTGTGTCTCTTGGTCTTTCATACTGAGGTGTTTGATGCCGACAGGAAGAGATGTTATGGCTTTTGTACCACCACACAGTGTAACTACAAGAGTTTTGTTGCTTTTTAATTTGGGGGAGGGGCAAAACACATAGCATAAAATTATTATCTTCACCATTTTAAGTGCACAATTCAGTAATATTAAGCATCTTCACTTTATTGTGAAGCAGCCAGAGCTTGGTATCTTTTAAATTATTTTATTTTAATTTTAATTTTTTGTCAGTTGTGGGGCTTGACCTCTGGGCCTGGGCACTGTCCCTCAGCTCTTGAGCTCAAGACTAGTGCTCTACTACTTGAGCCAAGTGCCATTTCCGGTTTTCTCAGTGGTTTATTGGAGATAAGAGTGTCATGGACTTTTCCTGCCTGGTCTGGCTTTGAACCACGATCCTCAGATCTCAGTCTCCTGAGTAGCTAGGATTACAGGTGTGAGCCACCGGCACCCAGCTCCAGAACTTGGTATCTTATAAAATCTACACCCATTGAACAATTTCCCTTCTTTTTCCCTCCCAACACCTGGTAATGCCTTGTATGTCATTTTTCTATTGTGGTGACTTTGACAACTTTAAAGAACTTGCAAATGAATCTGACTGTTTTTTGTCTTTGTGACTGGGTTATTTCACTTAGCATCCTGTCCTCAAGGTATATCCATTTAGAAGTATATAACAAAATTTTCCTCTTTTTTCGTTTTGGTGGGACTGAGGTTTGAACTCAAGACCTTGTGCTTGCTAGAGAAACACTCTACTACTTAGCCACATTCTCCCAGCTCTTTTTGGCTTTATTTTTTCAACTAGGATCTTGAGTTTTTGCCTTGGCTGGCTTTGTACTGAGATCCTCCTACCATGCCTTCTGTACAGCGGGGCTTACAGACAT